AGTCCAGTATACCCTACAGCTGATCCTTTAGAGATATCTGGTTCTCTAAGGGAGAGCCGTCCACCGCGAAAGTATACTGAACTGACAGACCGATCCGCAAAGTGCGCCAGACTTAGAGTACAGGATGTAATTCTGATGAAGTTTCCAGTGGACAGTCATACTGTCCGCAGAGCGGCATACCCCCTGGTGGTCCCATTAAGGGGTGCCATTCCAGAGGACAACATCAACGGGCAGGCTAACTCTTCATTGTACTGGCCTCGTAAAGGTAAACACCCCGAATGACGTAAGTAGATTTCTTAAGGAGAGTCGGGGAGATATGTTCGGTGGCGAGACGATCATGTGAAAGAATTTCTTCTTTTATTTCTCTGATTAATTCTTCTCCGTTATTTTTCTCCCTATGTTTCTTTTCCAGACACGTCGTCTCTATTGGACCTCTTTTTTTGGGCTGATTCCTGGCAAGGCTCGTCTTTCGCTTGAGATTCGGAAGGCTTTATCGCTATTACTCGGGCTCATCCGCTTCCAGGACTAGTGATGGAACTTGGGTTGGGCCCCCCGTCGTCAGGCTCTAGGCTTTACGTAACTTGGCCCCACATGATTCACAATCCCCCCGAAATTAGAGCACCCCTCTCTCTCTTTGGTCACATGTCACTCCCAGTTTCCCAACTTCCGCACGTGACAATATGCTTCCTGAGCGTCCTTTCTCAGTCAGCGACACGTCTTTTCAATGCGTCTCCACCGTTGATTTATTCCTCAATCACTCGACATGTGTCTCCACTCTTGACTGTTCCATCTTGTTTCCACTGACTACCTCAATTTTCATTACTTCTTTCGGGAACCGAGCGCCTCTTGTCACATCACTACCATTTTTCTGAGTCCCCCTATATAAGCTGCTTCGAGGGCAACAATATCCTTACTCCCCTTTTCTGGTTTTCCTGTTTTACTTTCTTATTTCCTCTTTTTCTCATTTTTTGCTTTCTGCCCCTAGCCCATGGCTGGACCCAGCAATTCTTTTATTTATGACCCTATCTTCATCTAATACTATTCCGTCGGCGAGGTGGATGTGAACGCCGTTACTTCCCCACATCATCTCAGCAAACATCATCATCCTGATGTTGGGTTCACGGCTGTCAACCGAGTCGCTGTTGCAACGGGCTTCCGCGGCCATATCCCCACTCTTTTAAGGTATTTTGTACCATGGCCTCGATTTCTCCAAATCAATTGGATGTCCCCGCTTGGGGCATCTTGAACTTCTTGTAAGTTCTGTCCAACCTAACAGGATTCCAGATCACAGCGGTGATGATCACGCACTATTTATGGTTAGTGCGGATTCCTGGTTACCCGCTGATGTACAGACTTACCAAGAGACCTCTAACGATCTGTGATAGGTTCCCTAGCTAGGCTCTGGGGAGCGGACTCCCACAAAGACTCCTTCATGCATGCTGTCTCCCCTAATCTTCCCGGATTTCCTGTCTAGTTGCACTTTGCGAGTAGCATTCTTTTATCCTTCGTCTTGTTTTTCCTGTATCTAGATCTAGCACTAATTCTGCCCTTTTCCATTGCCAGTTGTCCTGGGTGCGGGACATAGCCTCTTTCCCGCTTTACTTCTACAACTACCTCGCCATTTGCAGGACACGGTATTCCTACTCTATCCTTTGGTGGTGGGGATGTCGTCCATGGCACCCCTTTTGGTCACCCACTTCTCTCTCCAGGATCGGTGCAGAGGCTTGAAGAGGCGCATAGGATCTTCAACGAGTATTCCGACAAGAGAGGTCTCCCCTCGGCCCCTGCTGACCTTTTCCCGTAATCTTCCTCTTCATCTGATGACTCAGGGTAGGCTGTTTCGATCGGGCGACTCTCCAAGCCTTGTCTTCTTTTTCTTGCACTTTTTTTTTTTTGCTTCTTTGTTCGCCCCTTTGGATTGGCTATTTTGTAACGTTTCTCCTTCTGTTAAAGTAGTAGTATTTGTTGATTGTATCACTTCTCAGGGGATTTCCTTGAGCTAATATCAGTGAATATACACTTCTATTTTTGTCTCACTTTCTATATCTTCGTCTCAACTCTTTCTTCTTACGGAAAGGTCTCTGGTTTCTTGGTTGACCCCTTCATTCCAAGACGGGAGACGTTGTGTTCTTCCCTCAGAAACTTGCCGCCTCTCTTTGCATTTCGCTTTGGCTTCCATCCGCGGGTTGTTGCTTATCTGGTGTCGTGGTTTGGACGATCGCTCATGTCGATCTGTTGTGGAATGTTTCACGAATCCCTTTTGGTTTTCTCCCGGATTTTCACAATTCCATGTCTGACTGGGAGCTCTATTGTACGTTCATACCCACATACCATGGCTGCCATTTTATTTTTACAGGGCTGACCTAATAGTACTCGGTAGTGAGCCGGAGTGCTGGCCACTGTGAAAGTCGTCACCCGGGCGATGTCTTCTATGATCCCTGGAAATATCACCTCTCTTATTGCCTGGGTCACCCTTCCGTGGTATTCCACAAATGTGATCCTTCCCGGTTTAAGAAGTTTTTGGAACTCTTCAAGGTTTCCAAAGGCGACCTGTGAGATGAGGTTGTCTGGGCATGTCCGATCTACCAGGGCCGTTCCATCCGTCTACCTCCCACTTCTACAATTACTCTCATAACGGGATACTGTGTGGTGATTTCGTACATCCCACCCTTCGGGTCAAAATATTCTGGTGGTCGGGCCAATCGCCTCCAAGTTCTAATCGTCTTTTCGACGCTCCCTCTTCCACCTCTATCTTCATGTTTCTCTGTCTGTATTTTCTCGTCGCGTCTTTCTTTCACTCGCTCTTGCCGTTTCAGTATCCATCGCGTCTGATTCGAGAGCGGGGGTTGGGTCGTCGGAAGGCGGATTACCTACAAAACCTCCTCTGTATGGGCAGAGAAATTTAAGACCAAACTTTGTATGGGTTGGAGACATCCTGAACCGGATGCGCCATCTTCTATTTTCCAGAGGCAGGTTTATCCTCCTCTTCCCAGTCTTCTGTGGCATGGGAGTGGGATAGCCACACCTATACCTCTAACCGCTTACGGTCGTACCATCCAGAAATATGGCTCGGGCCCCTCTTGGGAGGATCTTCCTTCCATCGCTCTTCCTAACATCTAGCTTCCTTTCTTTCGGGTTTACTGTCAGTTTCCGTGTGGCATTCGTCCGTCCTCGTATCTAGGAATTCTGCTCCCAGATCTGGGTCTTAAGGTGGTTTTGTGACTTGGGAAAAGGGGTTTGTTTTGCTTCGAGAGTGTTGCCCCCCTCTTTCTAGCACCAAATTGTTTAGAGAATTTTCGGTCCTCGAGTAAAGACAAGTATCCTGCAAAACAAAAAGTCGTCAAGGCCCAAAAGACACGATGGGGGTGTGTTTTTCGAAGGCACTCCGACACTCAAGTCAGAAAACAACTAAAAAAAGACCACAATATAGCTGATCGGAGAGCGGAAAGAAGTCGGAAAACTTTGTGAAGAAAAGTGGGTCGAGAGTCTTTGAGATAGGTAGGATCTGCTCGCGCCATGGGATGAGAATATGATTTTTCAGAGGAAAGAGAGAAAAGAAAAGTTTGAGAGTGAAGGAGCTCCACGGTTTAGGAACCGCCATGGAGGATAAACAAAGTGAAATGACTGGAAAGATGGTTGGAATTTTGTAGAATGCGTAAACTTAAGAACCACAAATACCTAGAGAGATATTGTGAGATTTAAGATGGATAAGAGAGTGAACTCCTTTCCCGTAGGAAAAAGTAAAGTATTTATAGGGAATTACCTGACCCGGATATCTTTTCTTGAGAGTGTCTTTCCATCGCAAGTAACTGAGCTATCTAGGGTTCAAAACCTGGGGAAGTATTAATATACCGGGTTGGCCCATGGATGGCAGATCTGGTGGATCTGCCCATGACCCGACTCGACTGACTTTGAATCTTGTGATGGCGTCATGCCTCTGATGGTCTCACAATTTTCTTTGGCGTGTTTAGCCTGCAACGAGACCGTCTCTTGTTGCGTCCCTCTCGTTCTCAATGTATGAGTTGGGTCGGCGGCTCAGACGCAGTATGGCTCTTCGCTGAACCTCTGTTTTTTCCCCTGGCTCCTGCGTAAGGTCACTGTCACCTGCGTAAGGTCACTGTCACCTGATACACGTAACAAAACACATTAAGTGCCATTTTTATGGGCTTGTAAGGGTATTAGCAATTAAATCAGACTAAAATATATTCTTATTGTCGAATGGAGGGAAATTCGTACAATATTCCGCTCAAATGAATTACTCATACCTAGCCCAGATCCCTTGATATTGGGACTGAGCTGCCGAGGATCGAAAACCTTGCATTCCGGGTACCTGTGCGGGTTATTATTTCTTATACCCCGAACTTTCTGGATCACCGAGCTTAGGTTGGGGACATAGAGAATATGACATTTTCTCCTACGCTGTCAGACACGAAGAATCTGGGATCACGTGGTCTATCGTGCCAGATTTCCCGACTCCGACTGAATTCAAAATTCAGTGCTATAAACTTAGGTTGTATTGATCTTCGGCCCAATACGGATCCTAATTTGGTCCGGCGGAATTGTACCTGCAAAAAAGTCATAGATATCATATGCTATTATGTGATTCGTCCATGTAAAAAAGATTAAATATTAATATATAGTTTTAGTAGTTAACAATATGTGAGTTATAAAAAAAAAAAATTTGGAAATATATATGTATATCAGAATAAATATATATATTTTTTTTTTCTATAGGTAAATCGTCCGTAAAACTTGTCAAATGTTAATTGCTTAATTAATTTCATCAAACCCATAAATAGATTTTTTACCACCTATTAAAAATTGGTTATTGAGCTCTCTTAATTAACTCTATTTTTTTATACCTCAGTAATTTAATTCTTATTCCTCAGTCAAACTGATAAGACAAGGAGACCGCCGCCGTCAACATGATTCCACATCTAACGCCGTCAATTATTTCCGTCCATCTCCTTTCTCAAATCTCTCTCTCTCTGTCTCTCTCCCTCACGCGCTCTGTGTAACGCAGACCATTCTTAGCTGTACAAGGCCCCCTCTCTCTCTAGAAACAGTCATCTCAATCATCTACGTGATTCAACAAGTAGAGATAAGAAGAAGAAGAGGAAGAAGTAGAAAACTCCTTGGATCGTCGTTGGATCGTCGTTGAAGAAGCAGCATCATCGTCAAAGGTTTGTTCGTTCGTGCACCTGTTTTCTTTCCAAATCTCCCACGGTTTCTGCTGTTTACCCCGAATCAGCTTTCTCTACATTTTCTAGATCTGGATGTGTTAGTCGTCATCGATTATCTATTTTGCTTGGGGGATTTAGTTGTAATCTGAAGTAGCAAATTGTTGTGAAATCTCGTCTTTGTGCTTTACTTTTCTGCCGAGATCGACCGAGTAAATCTGTATTCGGAGCTGGATTTTCGGCATTATTGATGATTTAAAGTAGCGTGGACTGATCTTGAGTTCCTTAATCTCACCCAAATATTGCAAATTTTCACTCAGTGTTTCAATAAGTTGATTGATCAAGTTGAGTTTATTCAGCTTGATCGAGAATGGCTGGTCGAGTGAAAGAAGACGAGAAGAACGAGCGGAGTATTAGGAGTCTTCTCAAACTTCCTGATAACAAGAGGTGTATAAACTGTAACAGCCTTGTAAGTTTTTTGCTTCTTAATTTCATCATCATCCAAAGAAACCATGAAGATTGAGAGACAATTAAACTTCCTTTTTATCTTCTTGGTTTTGTTAGGGACCACAATATGTTTGCACTACTTTCTGGACTTTCGTTTGTACCAACTGCAGTGGAATACAGTGAGTGTTTAATTTTTTTTTTCCTGTGTATAGTGTTCTTGCAAGTGTTGATTAATAATGATATATGCATGTGAATGTTGTATTTTCTCAGCCGTGAGTTTACTCATCGTGTTAAATCGATATCAATGGCGAAATTTACCTCACAAGAAGTCACTGCTCTAAAAAGAGGTGGTAATCAGGTTAGCAAGCTAATTCTTCTCATTTCTCTTATTCTTATGAGTTGTTTTTTTCTTGGCATTTTGTAATCTTTTATTTTGTTTGATTTTGAACAATCTCTGCTGAACAGCATGCTAAGGACATATATTTTAAAGGACTGGATCAACAGCGGCAGTCAGTGCCTGACGGAAGGTATGACAAATCTCTCTTCTTGTTGTAGAGATGGATGTCTTACGTTCACTGATTGTTCTTTTTATCTGTTAGCAATGTAGAGCGGTTAAGGGACTTCATCAGGCAGGTGTATGTAAATAGAAGGTACACGAATGAGAAGAACGATGACAAACCTCCAAGAGGACCGATGGTGAGAAGTATTTCTTCTTTAATTAATTTCCTGTAGATAAGCCTGGCTTGTCCAAATAGATTTGTTCATTAATATAGCATCATTGCAGTCTGCTGTGTCATGATTCCTTGTATTTTCATATTCTGCAGAGCGATAGTGAGACACGAAGTTCTAGTGGGTCTCGCAGTCCACCATACGAAGATACGTATGACCGTCGTTACAGCGACAGATCAAGTCCTGGTGGGAGAAGTCCAGGGTTTGAGCCAGGCAACAAAAAAAGCCCTTCTCGTCCTGAGATCTTGAATGATTGGCGTAGAGAGGATAGATTTGGGGGTAGAAAAAAACCAGAAGAGGAGTCCCATTCACCTGAGCAAGTAAAAGATATGGGTTCAGCTAGCCCTCCTGTACTTCGACCCGTTAGGGAAATTTTGGGTGACAGTGTTATTCCTCTTCGGGTGATAGAGCCTCCAAAACCCCAAGTTAACCGAAATAACGATGCTTCAGCACTTGCAAAGGTTTGGCTTTATCGTTGAAGTCCATATAGATACCATCTATATCTCAGTATAAGATAACTTTAATATATTCTGTTTGTCCAATTTCAGCCAGCCGCATCATTGAGTAGTTTAACCTCCACAAATGAGAATCCACCAGAAGTTAAGCTGGAGACTGCTATAAGCCTAATTGATTTTGATGATCCCGAACCTTCAGCTCCATCTGTTGCAATACAAGCACCGATATCGATCACACCTCATCCTGCTCCACCGCCAGCAAGTGCAACTAATGATAACTGGGCATCTTTCGATGCCGCGCCCAGTGTCCCTAGTATAAATGTATCTCAGTCACCACCCAGTGGTGGAAACACAGTGGATTCACTTCTCTCTCAGTTGACAGCTCCTTCTTCCGTGCCAGTTCAGACATCTACACTATCTGGCGGACCTGTTCATCTTGGTCATTCCACGTCACAAATCTTTGCACCACCTCCAAATGGACATTTAAGTGAACAGGTGGGTATTTCATTGCATGGTCTCTCAAAGAATTGCATAAAATTCAGCTTAAAAACTGTTGTGTGTTTTATGCGTCTTGGATTTTTGTCACAGCCATGGAACACGGGACTAGCATCTAATGTACAAAGATCAATGAGTGCACCGTCATTGCAACCTCTTCAAGGAGTCCCTCCTGGTGGCCTGCAGACTAATGAAGTTAAACCTTCCGGAAGAACAGAATTACCTGCGGTAACAATTTATTTAAGCCATTTGGTCTGTCTTGTTTCTATATCTTACCATCTGTGGGTTTGTAGATAACATGCTAAACTGGGTGCAGGATTTATTCACTGTAACCTACCCATCATACAGTGCACCAGTGCCTGGGTGGCAAGCTGGTCCACCTCATGCTGTGCACTATGGCATGCAGCAGTATAATAACACCATGGTAACAATTTTTCTGATAAACTTCTGAATCGCATAATGAATTTGAGCAACATTGACATCGCAGCCTGATATTTCATGCGACAGTCTTACCAGAATGTTCCGCATCCAGCCAAGTCAATAAACCCTTTTGACTTCAGCTCTGAGCCGCCATCACAGACACAAACAGTATGTCTTCCAGCTCATTTGACTTAATCCATAATAGAACTTTTGTGTGATAACAAGCATGTCTTGGAAATTAATGGCAGTTGAGCAAATGTTGATTTGAGCACTTAATAAAGTGCTTACAAAAACTTAGCTTATGAGTTGATTGGTTAAACCCGTTCCCTATACTCAATTTCGGCACTTCCATCCGAGCAAGTTGTTTTATCAAAGTATTGATCGAGTAATCTATTAGTGATTACATGTTAAATGATGTCAAAAAAAAACGGTACAGAAAACTATGTTCCCTTCCATGGCGTCTCTGCAAGGTGCATTACCTCCTTCAGGCATGATGCCTTCTCAGGGAGTACACAATCATTTCAGTATACCCTCTCAAGCCTCAAACCATCTATCTGCAATGCCACCGAGTAAATATAAAACATACCTATTTTTCATTTTTTCCCCAGTTTACTTAGTTATCTCATCAATTGAATGATACGTTGACTCGTATGAAATGTTGATGAATTATTGGCTCCCAATTTTTCAGGGTACATATCTCCTCAAATACCAGGAAGCATGCCACCTAGGTATGATCCTTTTGATTCAGTTAATCCATTAGTGTTTGCTTCCATCATACATTCACTGCATATAGTTGGTCTTAGCGCGAAAACGTCTACTTCTTATTTCATCTTTCAAGAATCGGATCTAAAGATCATAACCGTTGGTTTTGCAGCAATGTAAGCCCTGTTGGCAACATGGGAGCTCCATATGAAACTCAACAAACATATAACAATATCGGAAGCCCATTTGCTTCTGTAGTCCCTTCGAACCCACCTTCTTTCCCTTCAGGAGGAAACCCGTTTGGGTAAAGAAGAACGAGAGCATTAGCTCGAGATCTGTTGTACTTGAAGATTGATTGAGTTCTAAGGTGTACTATGTAAGGTTATCAAATTGAATCCAAAAACACGGGTTAAAGTGCGTGAACGGTGAAGGAAGGTACGAGTCATGAACTTGGAAAAGAATTGGGTTTGCGAGGTTGGGTGTTTAGATAAAATTTTTTCATATAAAGGTTTTGAAATAGGTTTCATTATTATTATTCTTTGATATTCTATATTTCAGTTTCCCTTTTGATGTTGTTTTATTGTAATAAATTTGAGGGCGGTTCGGTGGTTCCTTTAGAAAAATCTTGAGGATTGTATCCGTTGTGTTACGTTGTAAGATGTTATCAAAGGGTTTGTTTACACATTTTGAACATGAACCTTTGTCAAAAAAATATTGGCAGTTAAGGATTTGAGTCATTATCATTGAGTTTAGAATTCGCTTTTAGCACCTAATAAGGTTTATTCACTCACTCTACCTTATTTTTCAATTTAAAGCGTGGATCTACCACTTTTATAACATGGTACTAGGCATTACTACTTTTGGGTACTTGTCCATCAAAACATAGCATCTTAAACTTGTCCATAAATTTTTGTCTGCAAGATATATGTACCAAATGTACTAGTATAGTTGTTGTAATAGATTGAATCTTAGCAGTTAGCCCCAAAAAAAAAAAGACCAATGTAGGCTTAAGACTTTGATGGACAATTTTTTGATGAACTGAAACATATTATGGACAAGTTTGTATGGCTAAATACCAATGAATACCTATTTTTGGCACCACTTTGTGAAAGTAGCAGAAGCTTTTTTTTTTCTTTTTTAAATGGTAGAATGAGTAAATTATTCTTTTTTTTTTGGTAAACCCAGTAAAGTATTTAAATATTTAAAAGAATACCCTAGAATAGAAAATTAGTTTTTGTTCCAAACTTTGGTAGAATTCCAAAAGTAGCACAAATTATTGTATGGAAATAATCATTTATCCTAAATGAATTATAAGAAAATTAAATTTTATTTTATAATGTTTGGGTTCTCTTTTTCGATTTTGGGGCTTTAAATGTCTCCCATTGATTTTCATTGAGCCCAAAGCAAAAAAAAAAAAAACATAGGATGACCCACGGTACCCATTGGGTCTAATTGCCATAATAGTATTCTAGGCTTTTTATGGTGTTATTATGGTTGATAGGTTTGCATTTTTGCAATGGTTTTGGTCTGGGATGGGTTGTTAGCCTTTATTAACATCTTTAGGAAAAGGATGTTCCGTTGAAACAAAAAACATAGGTCTGTGCTATTTTAGAGAATTGTTCAATGTTAGAACTTTGTATATAGATAGAGATGTATTTGTAATAATGTGTAGACGCTTCATGAATAGAGAGACTCCCTGAGGGTCTCAGTAAATAACTAAATTCTAATCTATAATCTATATTTGTATTCTAAACAATATATGTACAAAAAGATATGATTTCACACAGTTCCCCAATCTGAAAACTCTATTCTATGTTCTCAGCCAGATCCAAATTTCTCAAGAACAAAAAGCTCTCATGTTGTTTGTCTGCTCTTCAATACCATTGGAGCCACCAACATCCAAACTGCAACAACATTTATATAAACATATTCAAACATTACAAACTGTCTCGATTACTCCTATAAAGAAAAGCCAGTAAAATAGACTTTCTTATTCTTTTTTACTTACTGTAAACGCAAACTGCGATCCATTCGTTTACTATCCTAACCCAAGTACTTGTCCACCCAACATCAATAGTCCATCTAAAACCAAAAAAAAAAAACAGAGACAAGCTTCTAATTATCGACTTATTTTCGGTTATGAATAGTATTGTGTTCATCAAGAACTTACTTTTCCATGGAATGATGAATGTTCCAGCCAATAAGTAGCATTGCAAAATACATTGCTCCAGTGGCAAACACAAAATGGAAGAATCCATATCCATAAGGAATCGCGTCTTCCTCTTGAGTCTCATCTTTTCTAAACTGTAAAAGCCCTTAGTGTTAGTCAAATTTTGTGCTTTTTTTTTTGGAGATTTAAAGAAATTTTGAGCTCATAAGATAACAAAACCTGAAAACATTGGGAATCTACTCCTGTGGAGAATGTCGCAATCACCATTGCAAGCAGTGCAACGACAAAGCTCTGCACAATGTACATATACATGGAAAACATATGTTTAGTACTTTCTTGACTGTCTCAAATTCAGAAAGATCCAGAAAAGACTCTTGCAAAGGTTTCTGAGATTTTTCTTACTATGATGGTAAGCCAGTCCGTTCTGCTAGACGATTCAGTTTTTCTGTTGCAAGTTTCTCCCACTGGCTCACTGCAAAACAAAACAATTACTTAGTGATCATGTAAAGTGTGATTACCCTCTAGTTTCTTAATATTTTATCTCATCGTTATTGTATTAAAGATATGAACAAATGAAGCATGCCTTCGAATGGCGCACCAGCAGATAAACACAACATAAAGTCCCATAAGTGCTGGAGTCAAGAATCCAGCATTCACCTGTTGAATGCAAGCAGAAAGAAGCAATATTTTGTTTCATACACATATGACATAAAAATACAACTTGAGAGAACCTTGAAACCGAAGGGACTCACTTTGGGGTGGAGAGAGATACTTGTCATGAGTTGGATAAGGAACAAAGTCCATGTGATGAAAAATATGTTGAGAAGGCATGATGGATCAGGCACATACCATATGTACATCAAAATCACCCCTAATATGCATACCGTATACGCAGTAGTCGCTAGTAGCATCACATGGACATGGCTGCAACATAGATGTTTCATTAGAAAACACAATCATTTTGTATTTAGGAACAGTCTCATATTGTCTCACCATCTTTCTGCATCTTTTTGAGATTGGAAACATTCATTGAGCCATGTAATGAAACTGATGATACTAATGAGCTGTATCAAAAGAAAGACCCTATAACAACAAGAAAAACAAGATGAAGATGATATCAATAAGTTTCCAAGTTAAAACGATCATAGAGTTTCTAAGATAGGATTAAAACTGTACCCTGCACCAAAATGGGCAATCTCCCCTGAAAAGCAAAACATAGCAAAGGAAAAAAAGGCATTTTACGTACGCGTCAATGCTAACTGAATTTAAATAGCGAAACAAACGATTTAAAGTACGGTTAGCCTTATATACCGTAAAGCTCAATAATGGAAGAAGGCAACAAGAAAGGGAAGATGGTTAAGCCAGGCCACATGAGAAGCTTAGCAACCCACCATCCTGAATGCCACTTATCTCTCGATGAATGTGTCTTTGATGTACCAACGGTTGAAAGAAACATAATGAAATAGAACAGCTATTGAAAAAGTTAAGGCAAAAATTTATCTGAAGCAGACTTAAACATGTGTATTCATGAAACATAGATTATAAGACTGATCGAAGAAAAGGATACAAAACATCCCAAGCTAACCCGTAAAACTCCTTCGGTTCCCAAACAGTTTCGGCCGTCTTTACAATTCTTGAATTCTGTAAATAAAGGATAAACACAATCATCATTCATCTGACAAAATTATTGGAAAGTTTCAGTACAAATAATTTTTAAAAAAATCATACTTCTCATTTCTGTCAAGGCACCTCGGCCATAATCACGGACAGTCCAAGCCAGCAGATTTGCCAAGAGGAACATCAGACCGTACACATATCTAGCCATCCATGGATTGTAGCCATTACGGAACTGGCTAAACCACGAACCGTTCTTGATTGTTTCATAGCCTTTGTTGTCAATGCTTGTACCGGTCTCCATATAGGTTCTAAAACTTAGCAGACTCTCTTTTTACGACATTGGAAGATCAAAGATCCTTGGCAAAAGATTCTTCTTAATACCATCAATCCCGAATCTCTCCGTCGTTGAGAAATTATCAGTTAATTAATTATACTTAGTATAAGGCTGGATTAAACACAAGCAAGACACTCCAGGAGCGAGTAGTTATCTTCCTTCAGGTAAAAAAAAAACCTAAAAACAAGCAATGGAAGTTACAATGCCTTTTTTGCTTTTTTTTTTTACCAGAAAATCAGAAATTGTTTCCCTTTATTTAATTTTCTCTTGAAGAAAAAGCAAACTTGATTTTTAGAGATTGACAGGTTCACTTTATGCAAACCCGTGTTTAATAGAAACAAAAATTAGGATATAATATAACAAAAAAAAAGCAAAAAACCAGACGAAATTTGAGATGACTTTTGTTTGTATTATGAAATATATGATCAGTAAAAATAAGAATACTTCCTTTATTTCTGAAGTATCATGGTTTAGACTTTTGTTTAGTTTCATAAAGATACATGTTTTTAGTTTTTTTTTTTCGTAATTAACCCACATCAAGTGGAAATTAACCAAATGTACTTTTTTTGGAAAAATGTTGAATTTTAGTCAAATGCACTTTTTAGGACAATAGTAGTATTATACTGGAATTAGGAAAAATTTACAGCTTATTTCTTAATATGTATATAAAAAAACATTTATATACTTATTTGTGTAGTGATTTGTTTACGTGTTGTGTTCATAGCGATTTTCACAGTGATTTTCCCAGTGTTTCGCGCTCCAAAATGAGTTTCGGCTGCAAAAAAAAATATTTTTACCCTATTTACCGATTATGTATCATTTTTTTATTGGTTTTTATCTGATGATGTGTTAAATATAACTTAAAATAAATCGTTTTAAATTATTATGGTTTAATATTTTATTTCGCTGTAAAATCAAACTATTTCTAAAATTTTATAAAATAAAATCTAAAATTTTATAAAAACTTAACAAAAAAATTAATAAATCAATAAATAAAATGTCTAATAGAATGATGGTATTTATTAGTGTATTTGACTTCAAATATTTTAGTATAAATATGTACATGATTTATTTCTAATTCTTTTGCACCCTTTCTAAATTGTTTAACTTTTCCTTCTTCTTCAAAAGAGTTTATACAGTACTTCAAAAAACTACGTCTTAAATACATAGAACAATAATTAAAAGATTTTAAACTATTTAAACTAAATTTTTTGGATACTAATATGTTTTTATCCACACTCTTTTATATTGCTTTCACGATCATGTCTTCAAACATTAAAATGTAAGGAAATCTAATAAACAAATATACTCAATAATAGAAAAAAACAAATGATTTCAAACTATTATTAAATTTTTAAATAATAAAATAAAAAATTATATCAGCCACGCAAGACGTGGACAAGTTCACTAGTGGATCTTTAAGAAATAGGAGAATATCAAATTTCTATTATATATTGATGGTGATGAAGCAGAAGTTAGATAAATCCCATAGCTATTGGTTTTGGTTGGGTGTTTAGTTTGAAATCACATAAAAAAAACATATTTGTAAGAAAATTGAAAAGCCTAAAATCTTAATACTCTTATTAGAATATGAAATATATTACAATTTATATTATAAATAAAAACAGAGTAATGAAATTATATGCTCATCACAAACATGCACTTCAGTACTTTGTTGCTCGGATCAATAAAATTCAATTACAGCTTCCTTGTTAAAAAAAGTTAAATAAGAAATGTAGAGAAAAAAGATAACAAGGTTTATTTTTATAAATGAAGCATAGAACAGAAGAATATGTACCTGGAAAATCTGGCATAGGTTATACTTATATTAAAAAAACTACATGTCTATATATAATCACCCATAAATTAAGGTTTTAATTATGATTAGTTACGTTAATCTGTTGATAAATAACCGAAACCAAGGAGGAAAAAGATAATTAAAAAAAAAGAAAAGTGAATAGTGAGTGCCTCCCTCTCTGCCACAAATCTTTTGAAAATTAATCAACGTTTTAGGTATTGCAGAAAAATATAGTTTTTGGATTCCCAGAAAACGTAGGAAAATATTAAAGTCGAGTCCCCATTTTTCATTTTCTCGAGAAATCTGGAAATCGCGAGATACAAATATATAATTTGAAAAATCACTCTATGATTAACAAGCAAGTACATGCATGTCTATAAATCTGAGAGATCCAAAAAGAAATAAAGAGATTGAAGATAGAACCTGTTATTTTTCGGGTGCAAAAAGCTCTTGAATCTATGAAGCGATCGGATCTGGAGATATGGAGAACGTTTATCAAAAATGAGAAACTCAAAAAAGATTTGAGAGAAATGTGAAAAAGGAATTAATGATTTCAGGTTTCGTATGAGTTTTTGATCTTTTTGCCTTTGCTCTCTTTCAAAACACTTGTGATCTTATATATGTGTATGCGTGCTTAGAATATAAATTCTGAAACCCTTTATTTTTCTTACAATATAGTTTATGATTCCTTCCTAATTCGTGAGCATATTCAATTATGAGGATCCTTTTTTAACAGTCTATTCCTTTTGATAAAAGTTCAATTTTACTTTTGCAATCTTATTGTGTCGCCTAATTCGTATGATTAGCTTTTGCTTTTCTGCCGTTAGTTTACTGTCTCTGACTCTCCGCTCGACGCCCACGCCCTCCAAAGTTTCAACTTTCAAGTAAAATAACAATGAGGCTATCAACTTATTTTAAGAGTTCTTACAGTCTAATCCAAACATATATATTTTTAATGGGTCTATAATCCGTCAAAAATTTATAATGGATTACCTATAATCACCGATTTGTCGGATCAACCATTAAAGTCTAAAATTTCTGACGGATTGATATTTGTTGGAAATTCCAATTGAGTTAAGTCTACTTTTTTTTATAGTGACATCGTAAGTATTTAAAGTTCTAAATAAACTTTTACAAATTATCACTTCTTAACTCGAAGATGTAGCTGCGTTTGAAACAATTACTGTATCAGTAGAACTGGATATTGGAGTGATACAAGTAGTAGCGGAGCTAGCAAAAAAAATTACAAGATCAGTTTTAATTTATAATGTATTTTAAACAAATTTTACGGGAGTCATTAATTTAAATTTTCAATATTTCACATATTTTTTTTTCTAAAAGTACAAATATATATATATATTTCACATGAGTTGGAGCTTAGAAAAAACGGAATTGGGCGAGTAGCTGAGCTGGACCAATTAGGATGCAAGGCGTGAAGATATACAGTAGAAACTCTATAAATTAATATTCGATAAATTAATAAACTCGATTCATTAATAAATTTCTTTAGTCTCAAACTTATGATTTGGTTCAATTAATCTTTTTATAAATTAATAACTCTCTAAATTAATAAAATATAAGAATCCCAATGATATTAATTTATAGAGTTTTTACTGTAGCTGAACCAGACGAGAAATTCAGAGAGAATCTAGAAAAATGGAAGATTTCCTTAAACTTGGAAGAAGTTCAAGGAAACAAGAGAGATTTGGAAATATTTTCAAGTAGGATTTTCGGCGTGTAGCCACAAGGTCTACCAGATATAAGTAGACCGTGTTGAAGCATTGTATGTGTTTAACACAACTACTAGAGATCATTTAGCATAAGGGTGAGAGATTCTTGCAATGGATATTCATCAAGGGTTAAAGGGTTCTTTAGGATGGTTCAAAGATCACGTATAGATCGAAGAACAGGCGAGATCAAGGTGTCTTGAGTCTGTCTTAAATAGTGTTATGAAAACTTGTATGGTTTGATAACATATTTACTAGTAATGCACTTTCAAGCATAGAAAATCCCTGTGTTACGTTGTGTTCTAGTTCCAATACTTTAGCTCTTGCATCTACAATTGGTATCAGAGCGGTCATCTGTGTCTTTGGAACATTGTGAGATCTTGAGGAAGAAATAGAGAGCTATCAAGAACTTGTGAACAGTTCAAAGATTATTTTGAATTCGGGGAACTATGGTTTTTGGAAGACTAGGATTCAGTCACTAATCAGAGGGATCAATCTGCTGGCTTGGAAAGTTGTTCTAGTGAAGTGGAAATACCAAAGAAGAATGATGTAGCAGGAGCTAACGTGCCCAAACCAGAGGAGGAATGGACCGAGGATGAGAGCAAGAAGTCTAAATACAATTCAAAGGCGTTGACGGCTATCCGTTGCAGTGTGTCAGCTCAAACTTTTGAACTGATACAAGGGTGCGAGACAGCCAAAGAAGCTTGGGATGTGCTGCAGTTATGATTTAAAGGAACAACCAAGGTGCAGAACTTACTTCTGTGTGAAAGTAAGTAATTTCTGGAGCAAGGCTAGTGGCAATTACTTTATACATCTCAAAGCATGCTTTCGCTAAATCTTCTGCAAGCTTCAAGTTTTCTAGATCCTCAAATGACAAAATATTTTCTTTCAGGGCCTTCTCCTTTGTGAGTCCGTTGGTAGCACCAAGAGCAAGTGTACCAGGCAAGAAGCACACCTAGACAAATAAAATTAAATGAATCAATCCTTAGGAAGAACAAACGCCATGAGATTTTATGAAATGGGGTTGATTGGTTTTTTTCAGTACGAGGTAGTGAGTGATGCTTACTAGATGATCCATTTTCGGACTGAACTCTCCCTTAGACCCGTAAGGTAACTCTTCTACAAAGACCATACCATTTGGAATTGATTTTCGCTCAAGCAAATGCCTGACTCCTTTCATAGCCGAGAAAAGACATGCTCGCTTCATGATTTGAGAATTTGAAGAAGGAGGAACATGATATTGGAACCCAATATTAATAAGCATTTGGACTTATAATATTGAGTTTGTGTGTGAATAAGAAATGAAGTTTAATAAGCAAATGGGCCTTATAAATTCATTTGAAATTTGGGTTTGAGCCTATGGAAACGAAATGTTCCTATTGTCTATAACTAAAAGTGAAAGTTTAGTGGAAGTGTATTTGTCCCACATTGCTCACCAAGGAGAAAAATCTCTTGTATATATATGGTCTACTCACAATAAGGGTCAACAGCATTGTGGAAGTAAAAGGGCATTCTGCAAAAACACCTACGCGCGCCGCCGCCGTCGCCGATGCCGGTGCCAGGCTCGTGCTCGTGCTCGTTGCTCATTGCTCGTTGCTCGTTGCTCGTTACATTTTTTAGTTGGCTCTTAGGACTCTTGGGCTCTTGGGCTCTATATAGCTGGGTGTGGGTCGTGGGCTTCTTAGTTCTTGCGAAATAATTTTTGCATATTGAAAGGATAAATCTTAGGAAATAAAAGAGCCAAATAATAACGGAAGATTTTCGAATCCTTTTACTTGCGGGAAAAAGAGAATATCTCGTGAATATTCCTTTTCGCCAAAGCTTATTCCTTGCGGATCAAGCTGAACCTTCCAGTATAAATAGACGTCCTCTTCTCTCATTCTAAATTATCGAATTCTCGAACACACCAAACACACAGCAAATAATTATTTCCAGCAAATCCCTCTCGTCCTAATATCGTAAGTGTCTCGAGAGCTATAGCGTAGTATTATTTCAGTTCGCAGATTCTATTATGGGTGTTGCATAATAGTCTCATCACGGTTGTATCCTGGGATTTAAAAGTCGCACCATACGGTCACACATTACCAGCAATTTATTGAGTTAAGGAAAGAGATCATATCTCGACTCTGTGTTTTTCGTTTGTTTTCAATCGGTTTTCCAACTCTTGTTTTAATCTCTTACCTTAACATATCATTTATAATATTGCTATTTTCTATTCGTGATTTCAATCGGATTTTCGCGGTCCTTACAATCTTAACTCAATAAATCCGCTTCCTGCTTATCGCTTCAATCGGATTGAATATTGCGAAACAGTTTTTATAAACGGTTTTGAAAAAACGAGTTTTTAAAATCGATCTACAAAGTGTCTGCGAAAGTTTCTTAGCTATTTCATAGAACTTTTGATCTGTTAAACATGAATCTTCTGAAACGGTTTATGCGGCAGTCATAAACAGGTCCGCAAAACGTTTTAGGGTTTAAGAACGTCTTCAAAAGACGATTCTGGGAACACCTATTTTCAAGTTCTAAGAATACCTATTGGTAATATCTGTGGAAGCTCAAAGGGAATCCTTTTCGGAAAATGCTGTTCATAGCGACTTAAACGTTTTAATCGCTGATCTGAATCCTGTTTCTCAATACTAACTTGGGTTATTTTCTGTGAACAGATTCAATTATGACTAACGGTGATGTCAACATGACTACCAATGGAAGCTCGGGTGAAGCTAGGATGCCAGCGTCGGTAACCGCATGACTTCAGCCCGACAAGTTCGATGGTTCGAACTTCAAGCAGTGGCAAGAAAGGATGCACTTCTTTCTGTAATCAATGCAGCTAAGCAAGTACCTCAAAGAGAATCCCCCAACAGTGCCAGAAGGAAACAAAGATGCTACGATTCTGGCTACCGTTGAAGCGTGGAAGCACTCAGACTTCCTATGCAAAGGGCACATCAAGAATCGCCTGGTGGACCAGCTGTTCGATGTGTACAGTGAGGTCAAAACTTCCAAAGAACTCTGGGATGCTTTGGAAAAGAAGTACAAGTTGTACAATGTCGGCTCTGGGAAATTCACTACAGCAAAATTCCTCAAGTTTGAGATGGTGGATTCTCGTCCCATCATGCCACAAGTGCACGAGCTGGAACTAATCTTTCAAGAGATTAGGACTGAAGGAATGAAGCTTTGTGAGACATTCACGGTGAACTGCTTCATTGAGAAGCTACCTCCAAGTTGGGCAGACTTCCAGAACTTTCTTGCTTACAAGCAAAAGGCCCTGTCTCTGGCAAATCTGATTTCTAGATTGCAGAATGAGTCACTAAAACGTGACAGAGTTAGAAAAGAAGACAGTCAGATCATTGATGTGGACTTGATGTGTGGTGTCGAGGGTTGTCAAGTTTTACCCTAATAGAAATCAATAGCCGCAAGTGCACAGCTGATCGATTGTAGTACTTAGGGATCGAATCCACAGGGAAGGAGGATCTTTTCCTGCAAAAAGCCTTTGAAATAAGTTAAAGTAAGGAAGTCTAGAACAAAAACGGTTTTGTGGGGGTTTGGTAGTGTGTTTAAAATGTAAAAAACGAAATATTAAAAGAGAATACGGGAATTAAATGACGTAATAACTAAACCTAATGAAAATGACTAAAAATGATAAAAACGGATATTCTAATGCTTAAATGAAAATGAACTAAAAAGGAAAGACAATATTGAACCAAAGCTTTAAAGAAAATCGGTGTAAATCAATGGGAAAGAAGGCGATGGGGTTCAGGGAAGTTTTCTCAGGGGTACGAACGATTCAAAACATTGCTAGAGAGTAAATTGGTAAGATCTTAGCTTAAACTTTTCGAACTGGAGTCACGGACGTATGAATACGCCATTGTCGTGATCATAGACA